GACTGTGATGGTTTTGACATGTGCAGAGGGATAATGGATATATATTGGACAAAGGAAGTGTAAGATGGGGGATAAACAATATATATGCTTGTTTTTTCCTGAATACTTTTGTCACGTTTACTGTCTAAGGACAGTGCTAGCAAGCACTCTCTGCTTATGACCAAAAATGTAAAAAAACAAGACAAAAACAGCCCTTTGTGTTGGTGAGAAAATGTACCACGTACACCAATCAAAAATGATATGGCAAAATGACATTTGGTTGTTTAGGAAGAGGGGGAAGTTTTAGGAGTGAGAGAGAGAGAGCAGAAAAAGAGAGAGCGAGTTTTGAGATGTGAGAGATTTGTGACGTTTAGCGTGTTTGGAGTGTGTAGCCAGTGTGTAGTCTTGTGTACTGTTGTGGATAGTTTTGTGTTGTATGTCTGAACAATGAGGCGACTGCTGTCTCCAGATAGAAACCGGCAGTGATACACCTCCTGCTGTCAGACCTGCAGGTATCAGGCTGTGATGTTCTTCTCTATAGTGGACAGAAATATTTGGAGTGGCACAAATAATTTGTGTGGCATCTTATTGAATGCAGAACAGCTGATTGTTATGTAAATAGTTTGAAATGGTTATTTACAGTAAAAAATATAACTTTTCCTACTCGGATTTTATGCTTTTTGTCTCAATTTAGATCAATTGTGTTAATACAGTATGTCAAAATGAAAACATAACTGTAAATTCAGACACATGAGGTTGTGCTGAAAAGGACGATACCAAACAAGGTAAAGTAAATAGTTTTTAAAGGTGAAATGTAGAGGAAACATGAAAATTAGTTAAAAATGGCTAATCATACTCTGGACCCCACTTTTTTTTTTTTTAAGTAACGCAATAGTTACTTTTCAAGTAATTAATTTCTTTTAGAATCTTGTAACTCAGTTACTAATCCAGTTACTTTTTTGAAGAAGTAACTAGTAACTATAATTAATTTCTTTTTCAAAGTAACTTGCCCAACACTGCTGCTATGTGGGATAGTGTCACACGAAGGCAAATGATCCACTCTGGTGACCCTTTACAGTTTACCCTTTACACACTTTACAGCTTTACTTACAACACTTGATTACAGAAAATGTGTGCTTTTTTGAGGATTTCAAATGTAGAGATAATGTCCTTTCATGTTTGTCTAATTGTCTGGGAGCTATGTTGACATACTGCCTTAGACTGAATGTCACCATAGCTTCAGTTTCAGTTTCCTATTAACTTTGACTGGGAGCTGAACTTTTACTTATTGTTTTTCTTTGCAGGTCTAAAGTCAGTGAGGGAGATGACCACTAACTCTTTCAATCCAATCAGTACAACTGCTGCACCTAATGGAAATGGCTCCAAGAATAGTGACAGCAATGGTGGGCTTAACATCATGTCTCTCATAATTTATTCCCTGGCTTTTGTCCTCGGTGTGCTCGGGAATGGAGTGGTTATCTGGGTGACCGGGTTCAAGATGAAGAAAACTGTTAACATAGTTTGGTACCTCAACCTTGCTGTGGCTGACTTCCTCTTCACTGCATTTTTGCCCCTGAGTGTGACTTACACAGCTTTGGATTTCCACTGGCCTTTTGGCAAGTTCATGTGCAAGCTCAACACCACTATCAGCTTTCTGAACATGTTTGCCAGTGTCTACATTCTGGTGGTGATCAGTGTGGATAGATGTGTGTCTGTGGTGTGGCCCGTCTGGGCTCAGAACTACCGAAATGTACGCAGAGCATCCTATGTGAGTCTGTGTGTTTGGGTGGTGGCTTTGATTCTCAGTGCTCCATACTTCATCTTCAGGGACACTGAACAAGACTCTAACAGAATGATTTGCTTTGACAACTATGCTCTTTCTGATGACTATGAAACACCATCAGTGAAAAAGTTAAGGGAATTTCGTCATCAGGCCATGACTATCACACACGTACTCCTAGGATTTGTTGTGCCTTTCACTTTCATTGTCTTGTGTTATGCTGTTATAATCCATCGTCTCAGAAGAAACCGCACACTGGCCAATCAGTCAAGTCGCCCCTTTAAGATCATCGCTGCCATTATCATCACTTTCTTTCTGTGCTGGGCTCCCTTTCACATCATGGGTCTAATTGAGATGGCATATCACATGCCAGAATATTCAAGTGAGATATTAGATGATATCATCACAATTGGGTTCCCGATAGCCACCAGTGTGGCCTTTCTCAACAGCTGCTTGAATCCACTGCTGTATGTGTTCATGGGCCAAGATTTTAAAGATAAAGTCCGCAAATCCATCCTGATTGTGCTGGAGAGTGCCTTCCAGGAAGAGGAGACACGCAATTACACTTACACAAAGTCAGTGGACACCAGTCAGAACCAAGAGAATTCAGATTTGAATACTGAGGTATAAGAAATGAAATAATTAAGCTGTAAAGCATATGTCAAATTGCTTATGGGCTTTTTACTACCTTAAGTATGATTCAGATATGTGAACTGTTTCTCCACTCATACATCCTATAATCACCACATGTGGGCTCAAGATATATATATATATATATATATATTGTATTGCATTGTATATCTATAAATAAATCCTCATATGTGTATCAATTAATCCAACATCTAATAAGAAGCATCTAATGACAGCAGCTTATCACAAGTAACAGAAAACACTGATTATTATGACATCAACCAGTAGAGGGAGCCGTTTGCATACTAAAACGTCATGACACCCCCACACATGATTGAGTTGCAACTTCTAAAAACTAAATTAAGAAAATCAGACAAAATGCGCTTTGTTTCTCTTATGTGTTGACTAGACAGGAAGTGCATGGTTAAATCTGCCATTTATAAGCATAATCATTTTTGGTGCACTTCTTATGCCAAAACTATTTATTAAAAGTAGGCAAACAAGTGAAATAAAGGGTGAATTAAGAGAATACAGTGTTTATAAGATGACATGTAATTATCCTGTGTAAATAAATAAACACAACACAAACAAATATATAAGATTCATGAAACATGCATTTTGAACAGTTTTGTTTTCAGCACAGTTTTGTGTTCAGCCACACAGTTGCACCTGAAAGCAAATACAAATGCATATTCTCAGAGACATTTATTCAGATTAAGATAAAATCTAGTCAAATAAACATAAATATAAATGGAATAAAATGAACTTTGAATATATTGAATAAAACTCAAATACATGGAATGAACCTTGAATATATTGATTCACTTTGTAGTAACGCCCTATATTTGTATTATAATTTGCCTCTAGATAAATTTTCGATAACTTTGAACATTTAAAATGTTTAATTAACCTCATAACTTGACATTATTACTGCTCTTATTCACTTTTAGTTATTTATTTTTACTCATTACTCATTACTACTGTAATTTTTGTAATTTGGCATAGTTTAGTGCCTTAATCCGGATCACTATTCGTGTTGTTTTAGCACTGGGGGCTCATGTCGACAAAATTCATTTTCTTTGTAACTTCAACTGTATTTGACATCAAGTAATTATTTGGGGGTAATTAATTGAGTATAACCAAATTATAACTGACTTTGGCAAGAAAATGATGGAGACCAACAATAACAAACCATTAACTCTTGTATTAACACCAGTACAACCACTAGTGAAATTAGAAAGTCTTTCATTACTGTGTCTAACATTTTTCACTTCCTGATATTTGTCTTTGGTGTGCTCAGGAATGGTACTGGTTATCTGGACGACTAGATTCAAGATAAGGAAAACAGTACCCACATTTTGGTACCTCAACCTTCCTGTGGCCAACTTCATTTACTTTGTAGCATTTATACCCCTTAATTTAATAAATCTTGCTTTAGACTTCTACTGGCCTTTTGGCAAACTCATATGTAAGCACAACACCATGGTACTTATTCTGAACATGTTTGATAGTGTCTACATTGTGGTGGTGATTAAAAAAATGTATGTAAGGGTTGTGACTCTGGGTGTTTGGGGGGTGGCTTTGATGATCGGCTTTCCATATTCCATCATCATGGACACAGAGCAAGCGTGTAAGAATGAAAGCAAAACTCTCTGCTTAAACAGCTACATGGTTTCTGATGACTGTAATGCAGAATCTCCCAATATACAGCGACAATTTCATCATCCACCCATTATCATTGCCCGGTTCCTTGTGCTTTTTGCAGTCCCATCCACTGTCATTGTCTCCTGTTATGTTGTCACAATCAAAACAATCATCTCATAAGAAACCACTGGCCACCCAGTTGAGTCGGTTTTTTTTTTTCTGTGCTGGGCTCCTATTCATATTATGGATCAAATTGTGATAGCTAAAAAAAAATGGATACTTCAAATTGTATCATTGGCATCCCTTTGGCCTTTCTCAACAGCTGCCTGAATCCACTGCTGCATGTGTTTATGGAATAAGATTTTAAGAAAGAAGTCTGCAAATCCATTATGAATGTATTCAAAACTGTCGTCCAGGAGGAGGAGAAACACTCTCACACTTACAATAAGTCAGTAAACACAAATACAACTCAGTTTTAAATGCTAATGTTCAAGGCTTGCAATGACTTAAAGAAACAAAGAAACAAAAGAAACATTACTCCAGAGGAAATCATTCTAAACCTGATTGTTTGAATTGTATAAAAATATATAATGTTAATTAGATGGAAGTAGCTAAAGTTGTTCATGTCTCTTTAACTCACAGTTGCAGTTTGTGCTATGTTTGTACGATTATGGAACTAAAAGTGGTTGTAAAATGCCACTTCCTGGAAAATAGAATGAGTCAGTAATTTCAAAATAAGTATTACATTTGTTTCTGGTCGACTTTGTGTAACACAACACTTGGACATGTGACTTGTCCCACAAATGCCATATTAGGTAAGAGAGGTGGGCATTTAAACTATTAACTATATAATAAAGATAACACATTCAGTCAATATATTTATATAGTTCCTTGTAAGACCATCATGTGAATTTTCATATTTTTTCTTACTTATTTAGCATAACAGCAGTCTGGCATATTCCCTGTTAATATATGACATACGAGTTATGGTTGTTGTGTTTTATTGTGTTTAACATTTGCAGCTTTGTATAATTATGTATTATTTATTTTTACATATTATTATATACTGTATAACTTAAATTCAATTGCACTCTTCTCACCTTAGTCTTTTCCACCATTGTTAATTGTGACATTTCCCTCTTTTGCCTAAAATGCCATTTAGTTTTAGTCTTAATTTAGGCATCTTAAAAAAAGAGAGAGAAAATGTTTTGCATATTTGCTTGCATATGTTAGTATTTAGTTTTACTAAATATATATCTATTTTTAGTTTTGTTCAGTATCTGATCCCATCTTTTATGATCACAACAACATTTAAGACTTTGTTTCCTGTTTTAGATGTTTATCAGGCATTCAGTATCATAATCATTTATGTTTGTTTATATTTTCTTTTTTCATTAGAGATTACTGAAAACAAACTGCCTCGGCTCCATCACGATAAGGGTCTATGCCCTGCAACCTTTGCTTGTATTTCTGTTATCTTTTCTTTCTGTCTGGGAACTACAGATAAAAAAATTGGCTCATAGCTAAATCTGGTACATTTAAAGCAATGTTTATTAAAATGCATTGTCCCTGTTACAAATAAAGAATTAAGGTTATAAAGTCTATATAGTCTCCACTTCTACCACATCTAGAATGTTTGATTTATAATCAGAAAAAATATTATAGAAGGGGTGTGACGTCAGACTGCAAAATCTGCTGGAAGCCTCATGTTAGAAATCTAAAAACAAAAATAGCAAAGAGCATCCCAGTGTTGGGGAAAAAAAGGCACATTCTGAACCACTAATCATTGGATATTTAAAACTGTTCAATGGTTTGATCTCACTTAAATTGTGTTGAGTGTTTAAACAAGAGAGAAAGGTGTGAAAATGTTCGTGCCTGAGTATAAATTGTATAAAGTGTCTAGTGAGGGGTTTTACAGCCTCAAAACATCTATAAGAATTGTAAAAAATAAAGTTGGCTACTTCATGGATTTCACTTATCACGGGTTATTTTTAGAACGTAACTCCCACGATAAACGAAGAACCATTGTACGTCCATCTAAGACGTACCTAAGATAGTATATATAGAGTCCCGATCAAAAGTTTAAGAGTACTTGAAAAATAAAATAAAAAATCATATTTTGCATAGTTGGATCTTAACAAGGTTTGAGCTTCAATATGCAACAAGAAGAAATGGGAGTGAGACAAAACATTAGTTTGAGCATGCAATTTACTGAAAACAACACTTAAACTGAAACCAGTTGTTTTACAGCTGATCAACTGTTTTACAGCCTTTAAAAAGCCAAATCTGTGCAAAAACATGGATTCATTGTCATTTTCTGTCAGGTAGTCACATTGTCATGACATTCTGATGGCAAAGGCAAAAGAACATTCCCTTTTTAAACGTGGTTGGGTTGTTGAACTGAATAAGCAGGGTCTCTCGCAGCGCACCATTGCTGCTAAGGTGGGATGCAAGTGAGAGTGAGACAGTCATTTGGAATTTCTTAAATAATCCTGCAGGTTATGGAACAAAAAAGGCAAGTGGAAGACCTGAAGAAATTTCACCAGCACTGAGTCTGAGGATCCAACTGGCTGTCCGTCAAGACACTGAACGATCTTCAACACAAATTAAGACCATTAGTGGTGCCGAATGCAGCCCCACAACCATCAGAGACTGAAGGGCTTCAAAAACAAAAAACGTCTTCAAAGGCCTCGTCTGCTTGAACGCCACAGAACTGACTGTTTGGTCTTTGCAAGAAAGCACCAAACATGGGACACTGAGAGGTGGAAGAAAGTTTTATTTCCCAATGAGAAAAAATGTAACCTTGATGGTCCTGATGGTTTCCAGTATTACTGGGATGACAAGTAGATCCCACCTGAGATGTTTTCTATGTGCCACAGTGGAGGGGATGCCATAATGGTCTGGGGTGCTTTTTCTTTCAGTGGAACAATGGAGCTTGACGAGGGGGGGTGCAGGAGGTCATAGCCGCTGGCTATGTCCAGATGTTGCAGAGAGAACGCCTCATGACTCAGGGCCCTCGTCTGTGTGGTAATGACTGGGTTTTTCAACAGATCAACGCTATATTACACAATGCCTGCAGGAGAAGGGACTTCTTCCAGGAGAATAAGATTACTCTTTTGGACTATACTGTGTGTTCCCCTGATCTAAATCCAACTGAGAACCTTTGGGGATATGAGAGCATGAGGGTGGGAATGGATGTTTGTATATGTGTGTGCCTGTA